AAATGCTTCAATATTTCTGCTTATAATTTAATATACCTTTTAAAATATTTTAAAATTTTAAAAAATTTATATTACTGATATTTAGTATTTCTTCTTTTTGTCTATAAAAAGATTAAGATTTTTCTGTAAATAATAATATTTACCGTCAATATGAAGATAATAATATGTCACAGTTGACATATCAAAGTATCTATTAATCAAGTTTATTGCGCAGCAGGATATCATTACTTCTTTCTAATGTTTTAATATTTATACTTATAATTTTATATAATTTTAAAATGTAATTTAAATATTTTAAAAAGTTATGTTACTAATTTTTAATATTTCTTCTTTCTATTGAAAAAATTAAGATTTTGGTCGGTAAATAATAGTATTTATACCGGTATAATATCTCATTGTTGACTTCCCAAAGTATCTATCAATCAAGTTTGTTGCATAGACAGATATCATGTGATTCGATAAACCCATGAGTGATGTTACTAATGGTATGTTAATAAACAAAGTTAATTGTTCTTCATTCTCATATTGTGTATTTTATACAGTAAACTCTAAAACTGACCCTTTTATTTTTTGTGTCTATTAAAATTCATGTAATAATAAGATATATAAATGGAAATCACACATGTCTACTATTTATATAATAATCTTGATTTTTACCATTTTATATATTTTTTATCAATTAGGATAAGTTTTTTTCCCGTGCATCGCACGGGCGATGTACTAGTTAGGACTAAATATCCAAAATAATAATCTATAACTATGTGTTTTCTAAAATCAGTACAATCAATTCTCAAGATAATACTCGTTAATTAATAATAATGTTCAGTTTGGCCTCCCGACTAATGACGGTTAAAACGACATAAAACTTATAGTACAGTTTTTTCCTAAATGTTTCTTTGTAATTGGATATTTTTCTTAAATTGGTTCAGTAAAACCTCATTAAACATGAAAACCCAAAGCAGTAGTCTTTTTTATTGGTGTACGATGTTTGAGCAAAGTCGGGAGATCTTTTTTTATAAGTTTTATTTCAAATGTGTATAATTTATGAAATATTTGCACTAAATAACACTAAAACTTAAATCATTTCTCTAAATAGCACTTAAATTGTTTTATTCCCTAAATAGCACTTAATAATGTCCATAATGTCCTGTGATGGCGAATATTTACTTGAATAATGACTACTGCATAATGACTAAAAGTGCTACATTGGGAAGAAAAACACATGTGATGCTATTTAGGGAAAGTCATTATGTTTTAGTGCTATTTAAGTTAATACCTCATAATTTATACCCTACCCAAACCAAAAAAGTGATCGATTAGGTCATGATCGGCAACGAAGTAATAATGTTAGGGAAGACAATGGAACATGACTCATCATATTTTTAGCATGACCCTATTTGCTTGGCTTGTGCAGAAAAGACTATCTCGAAGACAACTCTTTGCATAAGTCCGGCTGGACCTCAATGACGGCATACTAGAGGGGATGACGCGACGAGGGAGCGTGTGTGACCTAACAACTCCAACTCTGACATCTTCATGAGTTAATTGCATAGTGGTTAGACAACTTGATTGATAGCTAGATTGATGCTCATTAATGATTAAATTAATGAGTGGCAGGTCAAGGGGCTGATTTCATGGATGACTGTTAACTGATGTTAGGCTTACGACTGAGTAACAACTAATTACCTTATTTGACCTCCTCCACTCTAAATAAATGAATTGTAATAGGGGGAGGGGATATTCACTTTTACTTGCACAAATTTGTATACTTTTGAGACAGAGTAAGAAATATAAGTTCAAATACATAAGCTCTTTCCTAGTCTAGGTCACTCATGGTGTGTTTTTTACTTTCATGTGTTATTCTTATATGGTAGAATCCATATGACCAGGTCAGCCTTGACCAGATTTACACCATCAATACCTATTTATCTCGGGACACAACTCCACTAGCAAAGACAGTTGGTGAGCCTTGCTGACGGCGACCAAGAGGGTGAGGGTTGGAGTTTGTAAAATTCTGTTATCCCTGACTAGTTGTGGCACACCCTGCAATTTATCTCATCCACCAACTCGAAGGTAGGAGTGCGGCGACTCTCAGCGTGGGGGTTCCACCTTTTTTTGTATATTGATTTACCAACACGACCAGTGCGATAGAGCCACACAGTGCAATCTGTCTTGAACTCCCAAATAATTAGAGTTGTGCTTTCATGATCGTGTAATGTCTACGTGTGAATTGTGGAATTTCTCACTTTTTCATGGCTGACATTTGAATTTTTTTCCAAAGAGTACAATTCATCAATGATATTTAATGTATATACTAATATAGTACTCCCTCCATTCTAAAATTAACTTCCCTGTTTGATTTTTTCTGTCTGGGTAATTGTTGATCGATTAACCAAGTCATCTCATTTTATCCCAATTCGACGTGATATGTCCTTGAATAAGTTGGCAGAGTTGTACATCCGTGAGATTGTAAGATTACATGGTGTACCTTTGTCTATCATTTCTGATCGTGACCCGCGATTCACATCGCAATTCTGGAAGAGTTTGCAGAAAGCCTTAGGTACTAAACTCAACTTTAGTACGACATTTCATCCACAAACAGACGGACAATCTGAAAGGACAATTCAAATTTTTGAAGACATGATGAGAGCATGTGTAATTGATTTTGGAAACAACTGGGAACAGTACTTACCGCTAATGGAATTCGCGTATAACAATAGTTATCAAGCGAGTATCCAAATGGCCCCGTACGAAGCCTTGTATGGGAGACGCTGTAAAACCCCAGTATGCTGGACAGAATTAAGTGAGCAAAAGCTTGAAGGACCTGATCTCGTTCGCGAAACTGAAGAGAAGGTTCGTCTAATCAGAGAAAAACTACAAGTGGCTTCCGATCGTCAAAAATCGTATGCTGACTTGAAACGTCGTGAGATCGAATACAATGTTGATGACAAAGTGTTTCTGAAAGTCTCACCATGGAAGAAGGTGTTACGGTTCGGTAAGAAGGGAAAATTAAGTCCGAGATATATTGGCCCCTATCGAATCACTGAACGTGTGGGTCCAGTAGCATATCGGTTAGAACTTCCACCAGAACTAAACAAGATCCATGATGTATTCCATGTATCGATGTTGAAAAGATATCGTTCCGATCCATCGCACATTTTGACTGAGGGAATTGTAACTCTTGACGAACAATTGACTTATGAGGAGGAACCGGTACAAATTTTAGCACGAGAGGTCAAACAATTGAGAAACAAATCTGTACCCTTAGTCAAAGTACTATGGAGGAATCACTCGACTGAGGAAGCAACATGGGAAACCGAAGAGTCAATAAGAATGCAATATCCAAATCTCTTCAACCAATGACTCGGGTAATTTCGAGGACGAAATTATTTTAAGGGAGAGAAATGTAACGCCCCAAAAATGGGCCTATCAGTATTAATTAATTGATAATTAATTAATTACTGAGAAGGACCCAAAAATAAATAAATTCTAAAGTTTGTCAATAATTAATAAAAATTATATCGTTGTGTAGAGTTTGACCGTCTGACCCCAACGGTTCAATCGGATTTCAAATTGGAGAAAGTTGGACCAAAAAGTGTACCCCAACTAGGACTAAAATTAGTCCTAATCAGAGGACACACCAAACGGCGCCCTGTTCAATTACGCCGATTCCAAAAATACGAATCACCGCTCAATCAAGGAAGCCCTGTGTCTTCTTCTTCTTCACTGGCTTATTTAAAGAGAACCAATTCTCCCATTTCTCCACCAAAGTCTATAATTCTTCATCCTATTCTGTTGTTCTGAGAGAGGAGAATACACTGGTGTTGACAGCTCTGTGAGAAGTCGCCGGAGCAGTGAGATAGAGTCGCTGGAAATTTCGCCGGAAAATCTTCAAAACCTCCCCTACACTTCGAGGTAAGCCCTTAGATATATCTAATGACTAGAATGTTCATATAGGTCGTTTCTACGTTCATAAATGGTCATTTGGTTGAGTTTTTGTGTTTGACATGCTTAAGAACCAAGAATCATAAACCTTGAATTTGATGTTAAAAATATGTTTTAATGATTCCAAAATGATCTATGAACCTTGGAGAACATTTTTATATAATTTAATTGAAGTTTGGTGACTAAAAATGATAATACTCGAAACTGACCAGAGGAAAAAGATGATGAACAGTAGCCAAAAATCGATTATTTACTCCTAAGAATCGATTAGAACTTTGTTCAGATGAGATGCTGGAAGTCAGAAAAACATAATCGATTATTTTATTAGAATAAATCGATTTTGTTTTATATAATCGATTATTTAGAATTTATAAATCGATTTTAATTAGAAATCGATTATTTATAATCAATAAATCGATTTTAGTTAGAAATCGATTATTTATAAACAATAAATCGATTTTAATTATTAATCGATTATTATCCGTTAAATAATCGATTTTTCCACGATTTATATATATATATAAATAGATTATTTTATATATATATATATATATATATATATATATATATATATATATATATAGATTATTTTATATAAATCGATTTTTCGATACCAACTAACTATAGACAATATAGATATGATGTTGTACAATAAAATGATGTTTTGATATATAAAAACGTAATGTGATGCATGACGGTAAGTTCGGGTGTTAACACTCGATACTAGACCACTATTTGTTATTAGATTTTATTATCGTTTGACTATTAATTATGATAATTAATTATGTTGAATACTCTGAATGACAATCATGAATTGTTAAGTTGAGAATAATGAATTAATAAATCATACTATTAAGGCTACTTAGAAGATCTCTAAGGTAGACTTCTGATTAGAATGGGCCTTGCGAGTATAAAACGTATATTCGGTGGCCTTGGGTAAAAACGTACGTACGGGATCCACAAACCAAACTAGAGGAACTCGTTTGGGGATACCACCCAACCTGACAGTTAGTAATCTACTGTTCGGTTTTCTGGATTTGTACATTAAACGAAGGCTAGTTTAAGAGTTTTTAAATAAATTGGAATATTTACCTTAAACTAATGACCTAGCTTAAGAGTTGGTTAGAAGTACCTTGAACTAGTAATAGTTTAAGAGTTGGTAATCATCAAAAGTTTGGCCTTAGACTAAGCTTAGTTAAGGATATTGTTGAGTATTAAATGTTGAATATTGAAAAATTGAAAATATCATGAATGAATTATATATTGTGTGCATAATATCAAATGGTTGTTTGTGAATTGAGATTCAATTTATGTGGATGTTCGACGCTTTAGATATGCTTACTCAGCTTCATCGCTGAGCGTGTAGTATGTTTTATTTGCTACACGCAGGTAGACTGAATGAATGATTGGCTTGTTCCTGGCAGCAGAAGGGGCGAGATTGTCGTGGTGGAATTTGTAATTTCAAAATAAATAATTGTGTTGTTATTAAACATGGTTTAAATTGCTTCAACATTATTGTTAAACACTCTGCATTTTGCTACAATTATGTATTAAATAATATTTATGATGAATAAAAGTATTTGAAATGTTTTAAATTTATGATTACCAAGTTAATACTTTAGTCTGAAAGGGGCTGCAGACCTGGACGGATTAGGGTGTTACATACTCCGTAAGTGTGGACTAAATTTTAGTTTTAGAAAATAGCTTTTCGAATAGCTTTTGACATCTTTGACTAACTTTGACTTTTTTGACTAAGCGAACAGCTAAAATTATTGTTTGACTAATGACTTTTTACTTGGCATTTTGATTCGAAAAACCAAAATCTGAAAAGCCAAGTGGAGTAGCATTTCGATTTGGCTTTTAGGAAAATTATTTTTTTCAAATCATTTTTCTTGGAGGTATTCTATAATATATGTAAATAAAAATAAAAGTTTAAAAAATCAAAACTAAAATAAAATAAAATTTCAAAATTAAAATTTTCAAAATGAGATGAGAAAATAAAAAAGTAAAAATCATTAAAAAGTTGTATATTAATAATTTCTTATGAATTAAATTTCTTATATTAATACTTCATATTGTAAAGATTTAATTTTTACATGTAAAAAAATGAAAAGTAAATATCGTGTGTTTATATATATATATATATATATATATATATATCTATGTATGTATGTATGTATCTATGTATGTATCTAGGTATGTATGTATGTATGTAGACACACACAATCTCACATGACACACACACATATAGGGCCTGTTTGGGAATAACGTTAGAGATAAGCGTTAGCGTTTTGGATAAAATTTTAACGGCGCAGATTACTTTAAAAAAGCTAAACGCTGCCCGTAGATAGCCTTTTCAAAATGCTAACGCTAATAGCTAACGCTATTCCCAAAGAGGCCCATACATACATGAACAACTATTTTCAAACAGGAGAAGGAGCAAATTAGGAGTAAAACATAGGTCATATCCTTAAAATAGGAGTTCAAACTTAAACTCCTCTAAATAGGAGTGAAACATAATTAATAAAACAAAAAAATACTCCCACACGCACATTTGTTTTAAAGATGCATGCGAACTAAAAGTCAGGAGCATTGATCACTGCATGCGACTTTTTTTTGCAATGTTTTTGAGTTTTTCATTTTTTTATTTTCTATAAAAAGTTAAAATAAAGATTTTAACTTAATTAATAAAACAAAAAATGCTCCCCACATGCACTGCATTTGCGGCCAATACCAGTGGTGGCCAAATTCAAAACTAAAAAAATTCGGCCAATTTCACAACAGCATGCTACTGACAGCGACGCCCACTGCCGCAATCGTCTTCGATGATGATGCCCACCGCCGCCATCGTCACCGCCACATACCTGCCACTATCACTTGAATCTCCACCACCTCCGTCCTTTGCTCCGCCGTACCGCTACAAATGAAACCTACTATTGACTCCTTTGGTTTTTCGTTGTCACCATCAATTCAATGATATCAGTGCTATATACCATTATCAACAACACTGCCATCACAATCTACACCATCGTCGCCACAGTGGTGCCAAATTAATAGTTAATACGGTGTCAAAGAAAGACATTATAATATCAAACATGGCACCATGTAATGTCACATATGACATTATATAATACTCCCTCCGTCCTCCATAGATATTCTCAATAGCCTTTTTCTTTGTCCACAATAGATCTTCTCATTTCATTTTTTAACAATTAAAATACCATAACTACCCCCACTTGCTTTATTTATTACACCTACCCACCTCATTTAATACACTCCACCCATATTTCATTAAGGGTATTATGGTAAACTTTCACCTTTTTTCAACTCTACTTAAAAACCACCAAAAGTCAAAATGAGAATATCTTAGGGGGACGGAGGGAGTACCATAGATGCCTATATATAATGCCACATATGCTCATATATAATGTTACAATGTTACACAATGACATAATGCCAAACCAAATCCAATGACACTGTATAGGTAGATACTTGAAATGTAACAGTATCCTACGGCTCACTAAAAGCATGCAACGAAAGTTTTACTGATAGACCAATTAATCCTTCCCGATGCTTCGCTTTACCATTTTTATTATAACAAAAAAAGTAATCTTCAGCATCATTTCGTATATATACGGCGGTGGCCATTGATAATGGTTAAATGTTCCTTTAAAAAAAAGACTGAAAAATTCACAGAGATGATGGCGGAAGCCTATGCACCCAATATATACACTTTTTTTAAAACTTAATTTGGTGCAAAACAATAAATTTATACACATCCCCAGCTCTAAAACATAATTTTGCAGTTTCAGTTCATTGAATTTAGCAATTAAATTTAATTTTTTATCACATGTCAACAAATAAGAAAAAGAAATAAAGAAAAGAACATGCTTCAATTCTTTAGCATCCCAAATCCCAACAGTGCAATTGCCAAAGGCAGAGGTAAAGAGTTGGGCATTTGGTTCTCATGCGGTGAAATATAATGGCATAGTCACTTGCTCCGATGTAGCTCCGCCACTATTGCTTAACTAGTTACTCCTATTTAGAGGAGTTTAAGTTTATGCTCCTATTTTAAAGATATGATATATGTTTTACTCCTATTTGAGGGGTTTTCTTTTTTCAAATAACTAATTTTACCAAACATTTTTAGTGATCAACCAACTTATTCTGTCGGTCAAACCAACTAAACTAGACAGACATTCATAACAACTAGCCCGAACTGCCAAGAGCCATCAGCCCACAACCAACATCCAAACAAACAAGGTCACATAGAAACAAACCAAAATTATGTCTGCATTCAAGTGTACAATCCAGATTCTCAATTGTCAATTGAAGAATCCTAAAACCCTAGTTCTTAAGAGATTAGAGCCAGAGATATGGACGCGGACCAAAGATCGCAGCCCGTCTGCGGCCAAGAAGCCCTTACTCTTCTCAACTGCACCACCGAGACTCCTTATGATACCGATAAATGCGCTCGTCTCCTCCAAGAACTTCGCCAATGCGTCCTCAGCAAGGTAATTTCTCATTCATTTCGTGCGTGTTTATGTCTTCTTCTGTCGTTATTGTATAGAGCGATTCTTAACCGTGCAAATTCTGAGATTTGATGTTCTGGTACAGATTGCGCGTTTATGATAGTAGCTTTGTGATGTGTTCTGTTAGGATTTGATTAAATAACTAAAAGGAAAAAAAAATACAGGAAGAGGAGAAAGGACTTGCTAGAGCCAAATGCATGCGGTGGAGGGGTCACTTGTCCTTTAGAATTAAGATAGCAAAAGAATGATTGCAACTTGCAATAATGCAATTGCATATGCACGCATGTGACGAAGAGGTCACTTGTCTTTTGGATAGAAAAAGAACGGTTGCAACTTGCATTTGTGTCTCCTCTTGGTGATGCACCGCACGATAGGCTGGAATTTATTTTTTTGTTTGCTTGCTTGCACCTCGTTCTTCTTATATAAATGTGTGTATGATGTTGAAAGAGCCACACACTTGGCAGCGGGAGGAAATAGATAGTGAGGGTGAGAGAGTTTCTACACAAGAATAACATTAAAATTCCAAAGGGTTTTTGCAGGTTGTGGATGAGTGTATGGAGTAATTGATATTTAGTTATTCGAAAATACCCCGGTATAGGGTGCGAATAGATGTTTATGACCAAATTCTGTGGAAATGTGTAACATCGGAGAAGTGAGTGGGTAGGTTTAGAGACAAAAGGTTCGGGAAAATCTAGAGCTTCTGGAAAATGTAGTTGACCGTGAAGGACTTAATATTTATGGATAGAGGTGGAGGAAACTGAGCCATCTTTAATAAGGAGTTAAAAATATTTCTCCTCCTCTTCCAGGAGAGTTCTTGTTTGAGCGTTTGAGGTGGTTTACTATAACCTTTACTAAGGGAAAAATGAGGATGAGATGGTCATAAATTTATAACATGAAACTGTTGAGATAGTCAAATTTTGCCAAGAGCAATCAGACTTATAAACATCTAAGATGTGTTACATGAGAAGAGGTAAAAGGAAGTCTTACTTTCAACTTATCCGAAGTGGAGTCTACAAGTCTGTTGATCTTCTCTCGTGAGTTATTATGATATCAATGTTACAACAAAAGTGGGTTTGCTAAAAGGGAGTTGACATAGTGTGTGGATATGTTTTCCAATCATGACTCAAGTATTGTGCTCTAATCTCTAGATAATATGATTCAGAAACTATTCCAGAATGCTAAAAAAACAAAGACAATACACTGCTAGATCACAAATTTTGCTGGACTCCATGCGTACAGCAACAATAGCTGCTGTAGACATTTCCTGCCTTAGACAGAGCCTACATGAAGTGGCAGCTTATCATGCTACATCTACATCCTATGATTCTATGGGGATCATGCATAAAAAGTGCAGCAGTACATAGCTAGTATCTCACATTCTCGTTTTTGTTTTCTAACAGTCACATTTCATTATGTTCATATTGATTTTAGAATATCAGTTTTATGATGACTATGAGACATGAATATAGCAACAACCTCAAATCATTGTTGGTTCCTGATATTCTCCATGCAAGTGGAGAAGACTTATGGCAGGTTGTAGAAGTTTATTTCATTATTCCTTCGTTTTAAGGTTTTGAAAAAAAAAACTCTTCATAAAACTTTGTCAGTGTGGCTTAAGACTTTGGGTGAATTTATAGTGTTTACGTATTTTACATAATTAATTGACATTTAGTTTCATGCCACCTACCTCAACATACTTCAGATTATGGTGATGGTGATTTAATGCCCGCCAACATTTTACAATAATAGTTTTAATATGAAAAATGTCCAGACCTTGGATTCCTGTCATTTTTACAGCAATACGTGCTAAAGAGTTTACAATGCTGTATGTTTCCTTCTTGCGGTGTTGTAATGGTGAAAGAATATATCTGTATATTTACTAAAAAGGAAAGATGTCTTACTATATAATTTTCTTTCTTTATCGTGACTGAGATATATTCTACAGTATTTAGAGTTGAAGTGGCAGAAAGTATTGCACTGAGATCGCCTTATGGTTCGTGAAATGTTTGATCGAGTTATTGGATCTTGGGCTGGAAAAGTTGTTGCAAGTGACATATCTAATTAACTGAAGGTTTTATTATTCATTATATTGAAGCCGCTTCTGAAAAGTGGAAGCTACCTTCAGGTGTCTTTTATGACAATATGTTATCGACAAGCATGAAACATGAGTTTTAACGAAGAGTTGTTAGACCCGCTATGTTACATGGAGCGGTGAAGAAAACTCACATTCATCCGCTTAAGTGGTAGATATGAGGATGGTGAGGTGGATGTGTGGATATACGGGGATGGATAAGACCCAGAACGAGATTATTTAGGGAAGGGTGATAGTGGTATGTGTGGAGGATAAAATGCAAGAAACTAGGTTGAGGTTGTTAGGGAACGTAAGAAGGAGAAGTACAGAGGCCCAATGAGGAAATGTGAGAGGCTCATGGTAGTGGGCATAAGAAGGGGTAGAGATAGTCCTAGGAAAAGTTGGAAGGTGGTGATTAGATAGGACTTACTTCAAGGATATGACCTTAGATATGAAAATCAAGATATTTAGGATTATAGTAGTCGGATAGACCTTTGGGCCTTAGTTTGCAGTTTATGTTGGTGTTTGTTTTGTTTGTTATGTGTGTGAGCCAAGACTCTCTTCAAAACAACCTCTCTACTACCAAGCAGGGGTAATTGTTTGTTATGTGTGTGAGCCAAGACTCTCTTCAAAACAACCTCTCTACTACCAAGCAGGGGTAAGTTTTGCATAGACACACCACCCTTCTTGGACCCTACTTTTTATGGGATTTCATTGGATCTGTTGTTGTTGATGTTTAATATTGATATTCCTTGCGACCTATAGCCTTTATATATAGCTATCCAAGAAGTGATAAGTGCAAGTTGGTATGTTGTGCAGTCTATTACACCCATAGTCTTAAAAAAGAGTTTTATTTGATTTTTTGGTTCCAAAACAAAGCCTATTTGTATAAAAGAAGCTTATTTTCATTATATTTATGTTTGTTTTTAACAAGCCTGTCCTAAAGTCCTAAACAAGTTAACTGTGTTAAGTTTGATTAAATCAACAAATGTTTTTTCAAAATAACTTCTCCATCCCAAATTGAACTTCCCTTTCATTTTTTCATGGAGTTTCAGAAAAGGTGAAATCATGTGGTCGAGATTTATGCAGAGGAGACAAATAATGTGAACCATTGAACGCTTTCCTTAAAAAGAATAAGAAGTATTTTTGGACAAATGAAAAAGGAAACTGAACTTGAACTGTTTTTCACATTTGAATGCTTTGACATTTGATTTTGAGTGCTGCTCCATGTGTCTGCTCTGTAGATACAGTAGGCAGCAGTCATCTATCCCATTAGTTTCCTTATCTCCTAACTTTAGGTCTCAGACCAATATTGTCCAAAAATATATGGAGTACTACCTATAACCCCAAATTAGATTGTCATTTACTTTTGTAACGCTTATTAAGAAAGTAAAGTTGTGTTTAGATCTATTTAGAAATGGAAAAATGTAGACCACACAATCATTTTCTTTAAGGTAGTGTTTGGGGACTAGCATTTCATTTCAATTTTTGCATTTAATTCCAAAATTTGAATTCTTGAAATTTAAATGTTAAGGGGAGACATGAATTTGCAATTGAGTTTTGTAATGAATTAGAAGAATTTGTCTCAAATCCAAATTTTTAAGATTTCCCAAACATGGAATTTGAGCCAAATCCAAACTTGAAATCTAAATTCCAGTTCTCAAGCATGAAGTAAAGGAAATATGGAGATTATTTTGAGATGTTTAATGGATGGCTATAACCTGATTTTGAGAGCTTGATGTTTTCCTTGCAGAAAGTGAAGAAGTTTTCACTTGTGGAACCGAATGATGGAAAATCAGATGCACTGAGTGGGAAGATGCCTTAAGCTTTGTTGTGCGTCTTCTACCGTCTCATGGTTTGATATTCTGCAATATAATGTTCGGAAATTGATTCGTATGTGGTGGGGGCTTGACTATAAAAACCAGGTGTGGTCATAATATCTTGTAAAACTTGTATGCTTTAACCAGTTTTGATTTAAATCATCCCAAGCATTGAAAATCACATGTATTTCACTTTGTTAACATGTTAAATCCATGAAAAATCTGACTGATAATTTTGGGGAGTAATTTCTGGACTATGGACTACTGCTAGTGAATATATATGTGTGATACACACACACACACACACACACAGATATATACATACATACATACATACATACATACATACATACATACATACATACATATATATAGGTGCATTTTTAAGAGTTTGGGTAGGCAATCACACACCTAATGTGAAATTCTTAAGAAAACACCGCCATGTACTTTAGACTTTGGGCTTTTGGCATTAAAGAGAGAAGGACAAACTCTTAAGGTAATCATCTTGAAATATTTCTCCTTTTGTTAGCTTGTTGTTTGTAGATAAGCCTATTTTGTTAGAGTCACAATAGATTAACTCAAGAGAGAGATAGAAGGTGGAGGTAAGAGTATTGCACTCATGGACTGGTAAAAGTTGAGAATGGGATCTGTAACAACACCTTAATTTTACATGGGTCCTCTCATCTATAATACTCCCTCTCGTTCCTAAAAGATTTACTATAGTTTGACTTTTTTTTTTGTCAAATTGTTGTACCTTTTGACCATGAATTAAAATCTCCCTCCGTCCAAGTAGAAATTTCTTGTTTTGACTTGGCACAGTTTTTGAGGTAAAGTGTAAAATGGGTTGATTTTACCCTTCCAATTATGTGGCTCCCTTCCGTTCTTCAGCCCCGTCCTAATGGCCTTTCACCCTCTTCAACCTCAACCTGTTCTTCCTCAATCTTCTTCTTCAACCACACCCCTCCTTAACACTTAACCCCTCCCATGCCTCTTCATCATATCAAACCCACCATTGGATCTAGTCAAACTTTGAAATAAAATTTAAACGCTTTTTCACTATGTAAAGAGCGGAGGCATGAATCTAAAGCTTGAATGACAAAGGAACGAGTGCTTGGTTCTGATTCCCCTCTGACACGGCCAAAGCTCCGCAAAGAAGAATGAGAAGAATCAAGTGGGCAGCCCGCAAAGGAAAGTGAGAAGAAAGATATGGGACGGAGAGAGTATAGTTTAAAATAATTAAATATTACTCCCTTCGTCCCAAAAGTATTTCCTATTTACTATTACGACCTCTCAATAACTCCAATTTGTTTGCGTGTTTTCATTGATCATTTGATAAAATAAAATATTTTTGTCGCCTCTTATTTTGTAGAGTTTTCGATGTAGTGTTTAAATATAATTTTTTTATGTGTTATTTCCTTACCAATTTTCAAATAAAATCATTTTAAAATCTACGGGGTTTTGCACGTTAATCAAAACAGAAAATTCTTTCTGGGACGGAGGGAGTATAAAAAGTTGATATTTCAATATTATAGTTTAAAATAAATCTAATTTTACTAAATATATATTATAACTGAATATACTTTTTTTTAATTTGTGGTAAAAAAGTGACACAATTTGACTCAAAAAGACAAACTATTACAAATCTTTAGGGACCAGGGTAGTAAGTTTTTGAAAAAATAAATCAAATGCTAGGTAAATGTGTATCTTTGTGTGAAGTACCCTCTCTCCATTTAAATTGCATGTTTCAATTTACAATGTCTGTCTCATATTTATTTTCAATTTAATTTATATGATACTTTTGGTAAAATTCAAAAATAATATATATATATATATATATTTAAAAATTACATTAAAAATTTTACAATACAAAATGCGATATGATTATATTATTTTATCAAATGAGTTTTGAAAATAAGTAAAGAAAATGAATGAAGTTTGATCTTATAAATAATATATGTATTGTTTAATTTTGTATTGAAAACCATGATAGTTAAAATTATGGTTTTGTATTGGAATATGTAATAAATTCCATATTTTGAGGATTTCATGTAAAAACAACTTCCTTTGGTGCCCAAAGCTTTGTGGTAGAAAACCGTATGTGAGGCAAAGCTCAAATGTCAGTTTCTGATTCAACTTTAGTGCCTCCAAAGTCCAAAGTCCAAAGTCCAAAGTCCAAACACTCTTTTAATGGTAGTGTATGGAGTGAATATTAAGATGGATTTTAAAGCCTTTGGATTGGCATGTGAAATTTCACTCAAAATAAATGACGTACACTAGTACACCCAAATTTAAAGACATGGGGGAGATATTCGACTTACCATGGTGTTGGTGAATTTATTATTTATTTATTTATTTATTCTAGAATTGGTATAAAAATACAGATTATTTACATATACAAAAAAAGCATAAAAATGTCTTGAAAACAAAAGATGATATGATTATCTTATTTGGTCAATTTATCAGTAAGAATACACACACACACACACACACACACATACATATATACATACATACATACATACATATATACATACTCTCTTTATCCCAAAATGATTTACACTTTTGTTATTACGATGTCTCGATAATTTTTATTTGTTTGCATGTTTTTATTAATTATTTGATAAAATAAAACATTCTTATCATCTTTTATTTTGTAAAAGAGCAATTCTCACAAACAGGATACTCACAAACTTCACAAACTTACTATTTATGGTTTAAATTTTTATTTTAAAATTATTTTAGACTATTTAATTTTATTTATTGGAGTTCACAATTAGTAAGTTTGTGAAGTTTGTGACCATTTTATTTGTGAACCAAGCATTATTCTTTGTAAAAACTTTATTGTAGTGTTTAAGTATTCATTTTGTCTTGAATTAATCCATCCTGTTTGACTTCATGATATTTAAGAAAAGTGTTGAAAAATAAAATTCAGTGTCGTTAGAGGAAAGAGAGAACGTGGACCACATAATTTTTTACTTTATTCTGAAAGTAAAGAAGTGAGATGATTATTTTGAGATGGAATAAAAAAAATGAAACGATTAATTTGGGATGAATGAATTAAGTTGTATCTTTTAATTCCATAATAATTCGTATGGAGTAAATAAAATCAATGTAAAAGTTACAAAATTTAACACTTGGTTCGAATAATGTAAATGGTTTTAGGATGGTAGAGTAAAAAAAAGATATGGTTTAACTCAATTAATAGTAATTGATGCATGCCTTGGACAAGGGTATCCTTGCCCATTAAAGAGTAGAGCCTAAAATTTGGACCTCATTTCACATGAGTGGTCAGACCCAACCCCTGCTCGAACCAGAGGTTAGAAGTACTACGTACGTCGGTGGACTAGAAAGGTTGGAGACCTCGGGGTTTGACAAAGGTCGTAACATCTCTTATTTGATGCTCAGGTGTGGATTCTACTTATTGGGGTAACTATTATGAAATAATAGAAACTTTTTTTTAATGATTTGTTTTTATTGTTGAAAAAATTTTAAAAAAATATTAATATCATTACTATTTACATGATGTGAAAAATTAGTTAAAATTACTCATCTGTATAATAATTTGATGAAAAATATTGAAAATAAAGATGACAAACGACATATAAGTATTGGAACACTAAAATTAAAAAAAAAATAAAAACATGCAACCCTTTAAACTTAAAACATCGATGGTATGTCATGTAGAACATCTCACACACTCTCTGCATTGGGCATCTATATATATTGTACACCCGCTTACAATGGTAGCACCCTTCAACATCTCTAATTTCTCTATCTCTCTCATGGTCTCCTTTGAGCATCTATCTTGAGCATTGCAATGGAATGCAAAATCAGCCCTTCCGCTCGGCTTCCGACGCGCGCCGCGTCGGATGTGCATTGCAGGAGGAGAGCCGCATTTTCAGCCCCGACGCACGCCCCAACTGCGGCGCTAAGAGCCGTACTAAATTCCCGGCATAAAATCCCGGAGGCCGTCCACTGCAGCGGACTGCCACGACCCAATTCCGTTGAATACATTAACAAAACGGTGATTGAATATGTTGTGTGAATATCCTAATTTAAATAATGATTATGAAAATGATATTGACTTTTAAGAGTATCTAGAAGAACTCTAAGATATACCCATGTGACCAATTTAGTTAGGCCTTGTAGGTATGATGCTTGGTGGCCAGGGTTAAAACGTACGTACGGGATCCACAAACCAAAATTGAGTACCTACTCATTTGGGGGTACCACCCAACCCGAAAGTGACTAGTCCACTGTTCGGTTTTAAGCGTGATCTATAAGACTCGTAGGATGGATCATAGATTCTTGTGTTTTACCTTAAACTAAAATATAGTTTAAAAGCTTGATTAGAAATATTGCCTTAGACTAATATAGTTTAAGAGCTCCGTTATCAATATGAATTTGGCCTTAGATTAAGAATAATTTAAGAGCATTGTTGAAATAATAAATATTAAATATTTGAATTGAATAACACGTGTTGATATTAAACGATCTGATATGAACTGAACATTATCAATACCATGAATATTGAATATCTGAATTGAATATTATGTGCATCATATCAAATAATTTGATTATGAATTGAGATTCAATTTATGTGGATGTTCGATGCATTAGATATCCTTACTCAGCTTCACCGCTGAGCGTGTGGTATGTTTTATTTGCTACACGCAGTTTTATAGAAAAAATAATGTGATATGATCCTGGCAGTAGACGGAGGCGTGATTAACGGGATAAATGTGATGGTTTTGAATTGTGATTTCAAAAGATATAAATTAATTATGTTTTGTGATTGTGATTTGTTAAGTTTCCGCAACATTGAACTCTGTACTGTTTTTGTTATGAATAATACTATTGTGATAAATAAAAGTGTTTGAAATGTTTTAAATTTTACGATTAACAAGTTTATACTTTAGTACGAAAAGGGTTGCAGACCTGAACGGATTAGGGTGTTACAATTTTATATCAGAGAAAATGGTTTTAAACCCGATCTTCGTATCAAAATTTGATTTAAAAATATATATTATATATATATTTGGTATAAAAATGACATCCACGACTCTTACATCTCTCTGCTCTAGGAAAGGTAATGAGAATTTATGTAATAAATATTGACTGTATTAAATTCTCAATAGATGACAATTGTTAGTACTGAAATGACATCGAATGTTGATTCAAGTCGAACTTTCATACTACCTCCGTCCCTGAATATTTGTCCAGTTTTGACTTTTTCAGTCAA